TTATCTGAAGGGTTAATTCTCCTGCCCACATGTCGAAGTGCCTTTGAGCAAGACACAACCCAGTTTACTGGCCAGTCAGTGCCTTGCATGGCAGCTTCACCTCCATCTGTGTGTGTGTGTGGCTCTGACTTTAGACAACCTTCAGGGACACATTTCAGACTGAAGACCAGTTCATTTGGGGCAAAGTCACATCGAGGTTGTTGAATGCTTTGAATAACATCTTTTAATGGGTTATTATTGACATGTCACAATAGATGTTTGATGATTGATGTTAAATGTAAAAGAACGTAAGTCTATGTCATGTCCCCAAAAGTGACTTCAGTAAATGTGTGTTGTGTTTGTGTGACTGCTGAGGTAGAAGAGTGCTGTTAGCTCATAGCTGAAACTACCAATCCAACCCGACTGAACTGGGTCAGTGAGACTTCTGCAGCATCTCATCACCTTCAGCTGAATGTTGGAAGGAGTTTTGTGGATTTTTATCTGCATTTATTCCAGTGGATTGGACTCAACAGAATAAAAGAGAATAAAACCAAAATAAGTCTGAACCAATCCTTACTGATGCTTCAGAGGAATGTATGTAGATCGTAGTGTATAGCTTCTCCACTGAGAATGAATCTAAAAACAGAAGAGGGAACTCAAATATCCACCACATCATCATCATCATCATCATCATCATCATCATCAATACCATTAAAACCGCAGCTCATATGTTAAACAAACATCTTGCATCTGCTTTGCTCCAACACATTCACTTGATTGAGCGACATTTCTGTTAAAGTGTGGCGTCTGTTGGATCTGTGAGTTTGTGCAGACAGGGAGAAGAGGGCAACACACACACACACACAAACATTATGATGGCTATATGAACTCAACAATAGCTCAGACAGTGTTCTCCTTGGGGAAAAAGACCCCCCCAAAAAAGCAGCTCACTCATTTTAACCCATAATGAAACAGATGTCTGTTGTTTTAGTTTAACAGCCTTTTCTTGTTACTGACACTGTGCAAAGAATGACACATGGGAAGTGAATTAATAAGGAGGACAATTAAGTAATGGGGCTTCATTCGTGTTCCAATTTTAGACGTGTCCCTCTCTGATGCATTCAGCTGGTATTTAATCTAACAATGTTTAGAGCATACCAAATAAATAGTTTGCATTATGATCATTTCCCAACACAGACAAAGGTCTCCAGACAATACTTGTTTACCTGTTGACAAACTTTACCTTCCACAGGGATAAAAAGAAAAAGTCAAAAAGTATCAGCATTAAATAGTGGCCGGTGTAAATCTCCCAACCACAAAGTGTGACAGATCCTCCACTGAAACAAAAACAGACAAAAATCATAAAGCAGCATGCTGTTGAAAGTGCACACACACACACACACACACACACACACACAACACAACAACACATCTAAAAGACCAGATACCACCATCACCCCAAACAACCCACACACACACACACACAATTTGGCAAAATACTCCTCGGTAGTTTCGACTGATCTCTCCAACCGTGTCCGCTCCTCATCAATGGCAGCTGTCACTCGCGGCTTTTTGCATTCCCAGTTTAAAAATAAGACAAATGTAGAATTGGAGGGATGCAAAATGGCAGCCGCTAAGATGGCTGCTGTGGCATTAAGTGAAAGCAAAGGATTGATATCAGCTTGTTACATTTGTCCTCCCTTCCCTCCTCACTGCTTCTCCTCCTCCTCGTTTGCAGTCTGTTGCTGATGAAAGTAAGGCAGGAAGTATTTAATTCAATAATGTCACTATTTTTTTTTTTTCCGGAGCTGCTGGCAGACGGCGCACGCTGCCGTCCCTCTCCTCTGATCGACACTAGAGGGCAGCAGAGACAAACAGACAGTCCGACTCTACATGTGTTCATGAGACACCCAGTGTGTTATCGCGGGTACGTGTCTTTTTTTCGACAGGGCATCTCGCGGTGCACAAATAGCGAGTCGGGGACTGCTCTCGTTTGTCTCGCTGGGCCCCCCTCTAGTGTCGCAGTCACGAGTTTGAGGGGGAGGGACCGGCAGCGGTGGGCGGTCTGCCAGCAGCCTTCGGGGGGGAAAAAAAAATTAGTATTTGGAGCTGTGATTTTTATTTGTGACCCAATCTATTGAAGTTAAATACATTCTTAGCCTTAACTGGTTTCATACTCAAGCAAATAGCAAGAGCTGCAAACCGGAGGGGAGGAGGGAAGACCTAGCAGTCGGAGGGGTGGGAACGGGGGAGGACAAACTCTGTAACCAAAGCTGATATCAAATCCTTTGCCTTTCACTTTGAATGGCCACATTTCAAAGCCATCATCTAAGCCGAGCAGTGGCCCCTATTGTCTGCATTCCCTCCAATTCTAATTTTGTCCTTATTATACTTTAAGACTCCTGCGGGAATGCAAAAAGCGCGAATTCTGGTGACACGCTGCCATTTGATGCAAGGGAAGGGGACACCGCTTGAGAGATCGCAGCTCGAACTACTACAGAGCTTATATTTTTCTCAGCTCCAAGAATTATTGTGTGTGTGTCGTGCCTGCTGTTGGCGTAATGTTTGGAGTGCATGGGCCGTCCACATCGGCCCCTCGGTGATGATAGCAGAGGGTTGCGGTTGATGGGCTCCTCGCACTGTGTATCTTGGTCCTTTTAGATGTGTGTGTCGTGTGTGTGTGTGTGTGTGTCGTGTGTTGTGTGTGTGTGCATCTTCAACAGTTAGTGTCCTGTGTATGATTTTTCTGTTGTTTGTTAGTCTTCCAGGCGAGGATCTGTCAACTTTGTTGGTTGGGAGATCTTACACCGCCACTATTTAATCGGCTGATACTTTTTGGAACCGCTCAGTTTACTTTTTTATTCTCACTGTCGGGAATAGGTGAAACACAACGTTTCGTCAACAGGGTAAACAGCAGTATCTGTTCTTGCGAGACCTTTTGTCTCGTGTGGGAACCATGGTCTCACTCATGCAACTTTTTATTTGGTATGCTCCTAAACATTGTTAGCATTAAAATACCAGACTTGAATGGCATCAGAGGGGGCGGACAGTCTAAAAATTGCGCAACACGAGATGAACGGCCCCCCATATACTTAATTGGGTCCTCCTTATTAATTCACCTTCCCTATGTGTCATTTCTTTGCCCACAGAGTGTCGCCAGCAACACGAAATACAGTCCTGTTTCAATATTTAAACGACGCGCACATCTGATTTCAGATATATGAGGTAATAAAAATGGAAGTGAGCTTAGTGGCTTTCTGGGTGGGTGGGTTTTTCCCCAAGGAGGAACACATAGTCCTGAGCTATTGGGTCCGCCGTTCCCTATAAGGCCATCAACCTACCTGATTGGTGTGTGTCTGTGTTTCTGCCCTCTTCTCCCTGTCTGCACATACTCACAGATGCAACTCAGGCACAGCCAACACTTTAACAGCACATGCTCGACTCAATCAACAAAAGGTCGGAAATGGTCGATTTGGGCAGCAAAAGCACGAGCAAGATAGTACATTAGTATATAACATATGAAGCTGCCGGTTTTTAATGGTATTGCATCAGATACGGCATGGGGATGACTCGGCCCTAGAATGGGATGATGATGAATGATGAGCATTCGCATGATGTACTGCCATGATGATCTGCATGCATGGATGATTTCGATCCGGATTGGTGTTGATTTCGACCCACCAAAAACCACCATGATGGTTAGAGATAATTTGAGTTTCCTCCATTTGTACCAATGATTCACTGGTCTATTTTTTCGAAAATTTCACAATTACTCAGTGGCGAGAAGCCAACTCCAAATAAAACTACCTCCAACGACCGAAGACCAGTCAAGGATAAGACAACTAAAACAAATAAGTGATCCTCTGTAAGAAAACAACGAATTCAAATATAGAAAGGGATTCTCGCCAAGGATTTACAGGACACTTTATGTGTTTTGTCTGGATAGATTGAGACGCATAATATAGATACTAGAACTCACAATTATATGGGTCAAATTTCAAATCCAGATGCTGTCCGCGGTACATGAAAAACGCGTACCGCGCGGAACCAAATCCAACTCGCGAAATAATGCAAGATAAACAATCCCCCAAAACTCCTTCCAAACGAGGTTACACGCTGAGAAAAGAGAGGAAAGGGAGGCAGGAGGGGAAGAGTTGAAAATGAAGGCGGAAAGTGGCCAAGCAGAAGCCTGACGAACTGAGGACCCCGGGTGTCACGGGAAGTCGGGCATATTAGCGAGATCAGTTTTCTTGGCTAGTTTCAGTTATAAGTAAGAAAAAAAGATAAAAACACCAGACACACTTTTCCTAGCTTCTTTACACTCCCACTTTCACACAGCGCAGCTCCAACACAACACAAATAGAGCGACTACGACCAATTATCAAGTTTCCTTTTATAACTGAAACGTTACAGAACTTTTTTGGGACATAAGAACAATTGGATAAGGATTCAATAAATCTAACGTTTCTAATAATTAACAATTAAATACAAACATCAATACATTTCAAACAATATCATCTTAATATATAGTGAACATCATTCAACATAATAAATTTAAACCAAATAAATTAAGATAATTATACTTCACAACCCAGACAATTCATAAAACCCTATCGAAAACCAAAATAATGGTGAACTCTCATGGCGGTCCAAAACACCATAATAGAGAATACTACAAGGATCATTCTCAGAGAAGAATTCTTATGAAACATGTATTCCTCTTAACCATAACAATGGAACGTAGTTAGTTGATCCTAAAAAGTCAGAGCCTTACACGGGATACAGTCAACACCTATCTAGCCAGCTATGTGGTGTATAAGCAAGGTTTTGAAAAGCGTCGACTGCCCATGCAAGGCAACCTGGAAGGCGCTTGAGAACACCACTGCGTTAAAGACTTCTGGTTTGTAAATTAATTTCCATTGCCTGCACTCTATGGTTAGTTTTTCTTGTCCTCAAAATAAGGCACTACAATCCGCACACAATGATTGCT